TGTTTCGTACGTAATTAGGCTTGAGCAAATAATATTGATATATTAATAATAATAATCTAGGTTTGGACATTCCATAAATATTATTTAGCTATTTGGTATTTTAATATTACTTGTACTAATATAACCCTTTAATTCTTTGTAATTTTACAAAGTGAGACACTAAGTGACTAATATATCCCTGACTTTTCATTTGTTTCCTTCAATTAGCTATTGAATTGTAAATGTATTTGAAAAGTTAATAACTTTTGTATTTCTTATTAGTTTTGCATATATAATAAATCAAATTAATCATCTTTTGATGATCTTCGATTTGACATCCATATTGTATATATGAAATAGATAAATTATAGGGAAAAAATCTTTTTTCACCCCATAACAAAGACACATTAAGTGTTTCACACCGCCCAATAAAAAGCTAAGTTTTTCACCCCAGAAAGTGCGAAGGTTATGCGAAAACTGTCGCATATCCATCGCATAATTGTCCATATGCGAAGGTTATGCGAAAAACTGTCGCATAACTGTCGTATATCAATTGCATAACGTTCGCATATTCATCGCACATTGCCTTCGCACAATTATGCAATTGATATGCGACAGTTATGCGACAGTTTTTCGCATAACTGTCGCATAACAATTGAATAACTGTCGCATATTTATCACACAATGCCTTGCACAATTATGCAAATTGATATGCGACAGTTATGCGACAGTTTTTCGCATATCCTTCGCATATGGACAGTTATGCTATGAATATGCGACAATTTTCGCATAACCTTCGCACTTTCTGGGGTGAAAAACTTAGCTTTTTATTGGACGGTGTGAAAAACTTAACAAGACTTCAAAACGGGGTGAAAATAGATATTTTCACTAAATTATATTTATCTTTATAATAATAAAAAATAATAATATTTATTAAAATTCATAAAAAAAATAAATATATTTCCCAATTCATATATCTATGTTTAATGTAGTTGTATGTTGTAAGTTAAAAAATTATTATAATATTACACAGGTAAGTCGCACAAATAAAAAGTGTCATACTAAATATATAATAATATATGTATTTCTATAAAAAGGTATTTAACTTTTCAACTATTTTTTCTAATTAATTTTAGATTTAAAAAAAAAAATTAGTAAACACCCATGTAATATACGAGAGTCGTACTAGTTCAATTATAATTATTGCACCGTATACTAGTTTATAACGAAGTTACAACAAGTGTCACGGCGTCCCATCTTAGGAATTTCCCCAAAAGGCTTTCACATCAAGATGCTGGACGGCTCAAGGCAGCATATATCTCATAATTTTTCATTAATAAAATATTAATTTTGTGATAAAATACCTTATAAAATATTTATTATTATACCTAGCTCCACCTAATTAATATGCTTAATTTTAATTTATATTATTTTATTTTACTACTACTATTTACTCTTATACTAATTTTATAACCTCGTTTCCATATAATGACATAGTGAATAGTGCGCTTTTACTATTATATTCTTTCAGCCCTTATATTCTTGATTTAATATTGATTGACTATTTGACATGACACTACAAATTGGAATAGTTGGGTTTAATTAATTAATTTCTTTGTATGATAACGATTGGACCACGTCAATCATGTTTGATTTTTGGAATTTGAAGATGTTACGTAACAATAATATTGATGTGCATGTATACTACTTGATAAAACATATACGGGTGGATTACGTGAATTAATTAGACTGGAAATGTTACGGTCTCGTTGCAGAATCATTTCGTCAGAATTTATAGCCGCCAGATCAATTATTTTCGACAGTTACAAACCTCGACAGAATAGTTTCGTAACGAGACCGTAACATCTCCCTTAATTAGACTTATATACTATTGACTTACCCATGGCCCGACCCGCCATTTAGCTCACGATTTTGCGAGAATTAGTAAAATTCTCAAATAAATTAATTATAATTAATCATGTATATAAATCATTTTTTCGAAAAGAAAAAGAAAGAAATACTCTAACATTTTTTATTTTATTTTTTATTTGAATGTGATGGTATTTTGCGTGCGTCAAAGGCGCCGTAAATAAAGCAACATGAAAATATTCTTTTAATAGATGGCATATTATCAAATTTATAATAATAAAACAAAATAAATGGTAAAAAAAAAAAAAAACACAATACAATAGCACAATTTATCAGCTATAGTCTTTTAATTTAATTGTAAAGTTGTCAAAATTCAGTATAATAATAATGTGAGCTTAAATGTTACTCGAAATCGGTTAACCTAACCAATAAATCTCAATAATATTGTAGATTCCTAATATGAATTAGGCACTTGTGGGTAGATTCTCTGTCACTTTTCTTCTACTCTGGCTTCTTTAATTATTCTCTTGTTTGTATTTAATAATTGCATAAATTCATTTTTATCTCTACTGTCACATTTTATGTTTTCACAGTTTAAATTAATTTTCTCTAATCAATAATGTGCTTTGGATTTTGGTAATGGCTGCAAACAAAAAAAAAAAAACAATATAATGTTTAATTAAAAAAAAAACATTAGAACATAAAAATTGTGAAGAAACAAAGTCTTTGTTTTGGTAGGATAAAGCAAGTTGACGGGAATCGTCTTTTCAAAACCATTTCACTATGATGCTATGAAGCATTCATAATACTAATAAACTAATGTCTAAATATGGGGAAAAACAAGTACGGTCCCACCCACTCACGTGAAGCGCACCGTAAAATGGTGAGCACAAATGAAGCCCAAGTAAAGTTCCATCTGCGCTTATTTCGTTATGGTGCGCTTCACATGTGTGAGGTCACACTTGTTTTCTCCATTCCTTACATGGTATTGGAGCCGATTCTACATGGGACCGTGTGATGACACACACCCCGCCACTCTCGATTCTTACATAGTATCAGAGTTGGCCTACGCGGGTCCTATAGATGATCTACCCGTTACCCGTCCTAGTTGGGCTTGAGCTTCATACGAAGGACTCATAAGTGAGGGGCCGTATTAGAATATAATACTATTTGCGAGTTGTTCCACATCGTTTATATAAGAAACATATCCCTAGCTTATAAGCCTAGTGGAATACTCTTCTTTCCACGAATTGGATTTGAAGTGATATCTCACTTGGGTTTCGTCCAAGCTCACCCTGATATGGTGTGCTTCGCGTGCGTGGAGAACACACCCGTTTTTAAAATAATTTGGTTCGAGCGAAATTTAGAATTAGATTATCGAAAGTGATAATTAATTAAAATTATGTGAGCGGATAGATAATGAATTAAAATTAATGATATCGTTTAATTATATTGATAATATAAGAGGAGAATTAAGGTTTAATAAGTTGTATTTTGGGTTAAAATACTTATATATTAATAAGAGAAAATTATAATTTCAGTCCAGTAACTTAGGTTGTTTTCCATTTTAGTCCACTAACTTAGGCCGATCCAAATTTGGTCCAAAAACTCCCAAAAGTTAGTTAAATCAGTCCAATTTCGGCCAATTTCGGTCCTTGTCGCCGAAATTGATTGGTCAATTTCAGTCCAATTTTAGTTCAATTGGACTGATTTAACTAACTTTTGG